TGCGGAAATACTATTCTGCTCCCGTTCAGGCAAAAGTCCCTTTTGTGCAAAGCTTTTGCGCAAAAGGGCCAGTGTAGACAGCTCAGATTTGTTTTCCGCAAAAAAGCCCCGATCGCGAAAATGGCAATCGGGGCTTTTTTGCGGAAAAGCATCCGTGCCAATCTAGACGCTCTGTTCTGAAAATGCTTTTAACGGAAAACTTTTCCGTTAAAAGCATTGCCAGAAAATCATGCCAATCTAGATGCAGACTATACGTGTAGGAATAGCCTCAGAGATATCAAGAGATCAGGACCTGTTCATTAAAGCAGTTTAACCTACTTTAAAAGGCTTCTCAGCATTCATAAAGATGTGTGTGAGAGCTCTGTAAGGAGCATCTCTAGCTATACAGTCCCAATCACCTCAGAATGTAAGCACCCATTCAACATATGGCAGAAACCAGCTCTTTAGACGTCATTAATAAAAGTCTATTTTAAGCTATTTGTCACACCCCCGTATTCATACCTAAGAAACTGTGGTAGCCAGAAAAACAGCAGATACTATAAGCTGGGGAGGGATGAGTCTAAACAAGTGTCTGTATAATGCTCAGTGTTTTCTTGGAGGGCATAGGTGACTGGTACCTTCAAGGGGTGTAGATGCAGGAAGTTCCACCCAGAGGAACAAGGAGGGGTGTGTGGGATCACCCCATTGAGCAATCAAATTTTTGGCAGAAGCAGAAGAGGGCACACCTCCTGGGTGCTAACACAAGCCACTAGAAGGGATCAGGGAGAATGGGGAGAGATTGGATAAGCTGTAAATATGCACATTTCTCTGACAAATTTTGAACCAATTTTTACCAAAAAAAAAATATTGTTTCAACTGAGCTTATAAACTTTTTTTTTTAATTTTAACTTTGAGAAAGAGTTTAGATATGCCTCTTGCGTAGGAAGGTGTCACAACATGGTGGGATGCGTATGACATTTTCTGTACGAGCAGACCCAACACAGATTAATCACCCTCCTCCATAAACAAAATTTCTGCTTAGAAACAAATCTGTGTACCTGGATAAACCAGAGGTGGGACTAGAATTTGGATCCTCAGGTGCTCAGGCAAGTTGTTCCTATTATGAGCTGAAGAAGCCCAGACAGCTAAGACCCTGTGGGGGCAAAGACCATTTTTATTCAGTGTTTATAAAGAGGCTAGAGGAGGTGCTAGAACTAAGGGTGTTGTGGGGGCTGCACCCCCTACTTTCTAGCATATACAAAGTTTATAGTTTAGCCCAATATGTATCAACACGCATTATAAAAAATTGTTCCAGTGCCTCTGCCTAGCGCAATGAGGTCCTCGCCCAAGACTGGGGTGCCTACACACTACTTCAACACAAGTGACGATACACTGGACCACAAATGTTTGTCACAGCACTTTGTTTAGATTTTACTACATTGTGGTTTAGAATTGACATTGGACCAGCATAGGCTAGTACGGCATACCAGCCTTATGGCCCTGGGAAACCAGGATTTAATTCCTCCCTTCTCTTTATGTGAGAAGGCATTTGAAATAGCAAGAGAGTGTTTTAGAGTATGAAGTATTCCAGGGTGGGACTTTTACAGTCACTTCTTTTGCAGCTTTTCCAATTTTTATATATAATCCATTGTCACTGAAGCTGAGAGTTGGACTTAGGGCATTCACCTTAGATTTGGGAGACCAATTACTAAGCTCACTTCTTTGTCCCAGTGCCTCTATAAGAGTCACTAAACAAATAATGCGTCAGGAGATGGTGCTCAAGCATATTAGCACAACTTTCTAGGTTATGAAGGATCATTAAAACTTGTTGCACATAGCAAATCTCTTCTTGCTATAACAGCTCTTTAAAGAAAGTTCTTAAAAAAACTAAACATGGCAGCATAGACATGGCTAAAGATTTAACTGCACTTACCTAAACATCCTTCCAAGAATTAAAATCGCAATGGTGACAGAGAATTAATATGCCTAACTTGGCCTAACTTTTTATACACTTAAAAGCTTGGGTTTTTCATATGCAATATTAGAAACAAAGCCCAGTTTTACAAACTGTTTTGAAATGTGACACACTAGGTGTAAAAGGTTTCCATTATACTTTTAAAACAAACCTGGAAAGTAAATTAATACCGCACATTTGAGTGTTTTTCTACTCAAAATACCACACATTTTCCCCAAATGGGGTATGAACACACACACGCACACACACACAGCCCCCAAGAACTAGCAAAATCATTTAACATGAATCAGCCAACACCACAAATTTCACTGGCTGCCCACTTCTGCTGTATGTATAATAAGCTTAAGCAACATGCTGCACTCTAGATTCGATTGTCTGCCAAGAGTGAACAAACTTTTCTAGACAATCTGTTATTTTACTGGCTGCCGTCAGAAAAGCCTGTTGCACCATCTGCTCTGTGGAAAGTACAAGATACTTGTTTTACCTGGGTTCCAAATT